CTCCACCCTCTCCAGTAAGATCCAACACATGGTGACAGCGTAAGAACAAGAAGAAAACCATGCCCAACGACGGTGGTAGCAGCGGCGGCGGAAGCACAACAACGCAAATTCTGTACGCAACAGCTCAAATTCCTCCTCCAGAACCCTTCAGTTTCAAGTCAGAGGAATGGACACAATGGATCACGAGATGGGAGAGATACAGACAGGGAAGTGGACTACACAAACATTCAGACGAAACACAAGTAAACCAATTTATTTACTTGATGGGCACACGCGCTGAAGACATTCTGCTTTCTTTTAGGTTAGGCGCATCAGAGGCTAGCAAATATAAAATAATTAAGCAGAAATTTGACGACCATTTCGGCGTAAGAATCAATATAGTGCTAGAACGAGCTCGGTTTAATCAAAGAAAACAGGGCGAACACGAGCCAGTAGAAGAATTCATAGCCGATTTATATCGCCTCGCCGAGACATGCAAATACGATAACCTAAAAGAAGAATTAATCAGAGATAGACTAATCGTAGGACTCGTGGACAAAAAGTTGTCAGAAGCTTTACAGCTCGACGCCGAGTTAACGTTAGAGAAAGCAGTCGCACGCGCACGCCAGAAAGAAGAGGTTAGGCGACAACAAGATATGTTACAAGGGAAACAAGAGAGCAGCAGCTCAGAGATAGATCAAGTACGTAAATACAGAAATCTCAAGGACAAAAGAAGTGGCAACGCACAGAATCAAAAAGGAAAGAAAGAGGATAAAGGATGCGGACGATGCGGTATCAGCCCTCCACACATACTTGCAGCTTGTTCAGCAAAAGAATCCATATGCAATAAATGTCGACTAAAAGGACATTGGGGAGCCATGTGTAGGAGAAAAGTCCAAGAAGTCGTGCAACAAAGTAAGAATAAATTCAGTAAAGAGGAGTCGACAACAACTCCCGAGGATGACGACAACGAAGAAGATTTATTTTTAGGCTGCATACAAGTCGAAAAGGAACACGAAAGTATTGACCGGTTGAGAAACAGAAACGGAAACAAGGAAGTTAACCTCGTGAGAGCAAAGGAAAGTCGCACTAAAATAGTCGGACAAGAACCTCCGTGGATCGCAACGATACAGCTGAATAAGCGATGGCTGGACATGAAAATTGATCCAGGGGCAGATGTAACGGTAATCAACGAAGAGTTATACAGAACATATTTGCCCAACAAGAAGCTAGATTCCGCGAGACGCCTCATAGTAGGAGGAGACATACCATTAGAAGTCATGAGTAAAGCTCAAGTAGAAATCACGTGGCAGAAGCAAAAAGTTATTGATCAATACGTAATAAGAGACCATATCCAACCCTTACTGGGCAGACCAGCAATAGCAGCATTGGTCATACTCACATGGAAAGGGAATCATAAAGAAAAATTTATCAGAGAAGCTACATACGAAAACAAGAAACTGGAAGAGGAATTTTCGCAAATATTTAAGGGTTTAGGATGCATAAGAAAAGACAAACCGTATCACATCAAAGTACGGGACAATGCAAAACCATTTGCCATTAGCGCTCCGAGGCGCATCCCACTACATTTCTTAGAAAAAGTAAAAAAAGAACTAGAGCGGATGACGATCATGGGCATCATTGCCCCAATGGAAGAGGCCACAGAGTGGTGCGCTCCAATGGTAGTAGTGCCCAAACCCAACAACGAAGTTAGAATTTGCGTAGATTACACGCAATTAAACAAGAGTGTAGTGAGAGAACGTCACATGATGCCTACCGTAGAAGAAAGTCTCGCAAAATTAGCAAGAGCTAAGTGGTTTTCCATTCTAGATGCTAACAAAGGCTATTACCAGATCCCTCTGGACAAAAAGTCTAGATTGTTAACAACGTTCATTACACCAGCAGGAAGATTTTGTTTTAAGCGTTTGCCGATGGGACTATCGTCATTAGGAGAACATTTCAGCGAAGCATCAGCCAAATTCTTAACAAGTTAAAAGGCGTAGTAAATCTGGTGGACGACATTTTAGTATACGGAGCGACAGAAAAAGAACACGACGAAAATCTAAAAGCGGTATTAAGGAAACTCCACGAGGAAGGGGTAACGTTAAACCGGAACAAATGCAAGATAAGACAGAGACGCGTCAAATTTTTAGGATACGTTATTTCGTCAGAAAAGGGTATAGAGCCAGATCAAGACAAAGTGAAGGCTATCATTAGCATGGAAAGGCCGAAGAACACTACGGAAGTCAAGAGATTTTTAGGCATGGTGCATTACTAGCTAAAATTCATCGAGCGACTAGCAGATATAACAAAACCCCTACGGGAACTACTAAAAGAAGAAACAGAGTTCGTATGGACAGCAGCGCAAGAGGAAGCTTTCTCTAAAATAAAAGAGCAGTTGATCAGAGTACCAGCACTCGTTTTTTTCGATCCCAACAAAAAAACGAGAGTATCAGCAGACTCATCTGCATACGGATTGGGTGCAGTATGCGAACAAGGTGACCAGGGCGAATGGAGACCCATCTACTATGCATCGCGAGCCCTGACCCAGACGGAGCAGCGATACGCACAAATAGAGAAAGAAACGCTGGCCCTAACATGGGCATGCGAAAAGTTTGCAATGTTCATCGTAGGAGACTTAACACTCCGCACGGACCACAAGCCCCTAGTAGTGTTGTTGGGGTCGAAACCAATAAGCGAATTATCCCCAAGATTATAAAGACTGAGAATGCGATTACTTAGATTTAATTATACGATTGAGCATGTTCCAGGGAAATCGTTACAGACCGCAGATACGTTATCCAGAGCACCATTACCACACAGAGGAAAAGACCAGGACATTTTACGGGAAGAAATAGAGCACTACGCACAAGCCATAATTGCAACAGATGTCCCAGATCGCCAACTGGAAAGAGTACGAAAGGCCCAAAACCAAGATCCAGTGGCTCAGACAATCCGTCAATACATTCAGGAGGGGTGGCCGAAATACCCTAAGGACATCCCGGTAGAACTGCGAGCATACGAGGAACATCGGGCCCTTCTAGCAGAAGACCCAAGTGGCATTATCGTCCATGGTACGAGAGTGTACATCCCAAGATGCTTACGAGAGGAAGTACTACAACGTATTCATCAAGGTCACTTGGGAGAAAAAAAATGTCAGGAGCGAGCAAAACGAGTCATATGGTGGCCGGGCATGTTAAACGCTATCAAGAAACAGTGCAGCCAATGCGAAATTTGTCAGCAGCACCGACCGCAGCCGGTAGAAACCCTCATAATGACTCCACCACCGAACCGACCATGGCAGAAGGTTGCTGTGGATCTGTGCGAACGAAGCGGCAAACACTATCTAGTAATGGTAGACTATTTTTCCCGATATCCAGAGGTAATTTATTTAAGGTCGACTACAGCAGCACACGTCATAAACAAGATGGAGGATATTTTTGGACGACACGGAATACCAGAGGTAGTGAGGTCGGACAACGGACCACAATTCGACTCACAAGAATATAGAGACTTCGCGCGTAAACGAGGCTTTAGAATAATCACGAGCAGTCCACGATACCCCAAAAGTAACGGCCAAGCAGAAGCGGCAGTGAAGAATTAAGAAGATCTTAAAAAAAGAGCCGGAGCCAGCTTTAGGTCTCTTGGCATACCGAACATCACCTTTAGAAACAGGATTCAGCCCTGCAGAACTTCTCATGGGCCGTAAACTCCGAACCGAAATTCTATGCTCATCGAAAACATTACACTCGCAATGGCCGTACGTAGAGGAACACAGGCGAGCGCTGTGGGAGCGAAAGTTGAAAGACAAAATATATCACGACCGATGACACAGAGCAAAAGAACTTCAAGAGCTTACGCAAGGAGAGCTGGTATGGCTCCGCGATCGCGGGGAGTATGGAATTGTACTCCGCCCCAGAAAAGAGCCCAGATCATACGATGTTCAGTGCGGCGGAAGAATT